GGTCAGCTCTTTATCTAAATCTTATATAATGTATCTTTAAATCTTACGTAATGTATCTTTAATTAAATGTTTAATACTCAATCTAAGTACATTTTAGCTTAGATTAAAGGACAATATTGGTGTCAGGTGTCAGCCACATAATATGTGATGGAACTGGTTAAACACATTCCAAAAATAATTTTAACACATAGATCTTTACTACGAACGGGAAGTGGCGCAGGAAAGGGGAAACACAATTTATCACCTAAGTAATAGTGCGAAAATATCACGCATCGTTACTTCAAGAAACTATTTTCGGATCATACGTTCAATATTTTAATCACGATTTGTTTGATTAAAATAAAGACTAACATTTATTCACGTTTATTTGTCTTCCGATAAATGAATTATTGGTCTATTTATATTTATACATTATACAGAATCTGCGTCAATCTGATTTTAACATTTTTTTTTGTTTTTCAATAAATTTACAGAATTAATATGGTAAAAATAGGATACGATAACCAGCTTTATCAGTGCTACCGCTCCCTTGGAATGAATCATTAACAGGTTTCCAACTAGCTATCGTAATACATAAATTTAAATATATATATACATAGTATAAAACATATATACAATTTAGATGATAATTTAGGATTTTTTAAAGGGACACTCCCACATTTTTATCGGTGGAATGCCGAATTCGGTGTCATCAGTAGAGAAGATTTTCCTATGTACTGTATTTCTGAGAAATGAGACTGTTAGGACTCGGTGGGTAAGGCATTGGTTCACTTAACTGGCGTTCCCGGGTTATATTCGGTATGTTCAAGCGTGATTTTCCCTTGACAGTGGTGCAGGGTAAGGAAAGGAACATCGACTAGATGAGGGAGAGAGATAAAATGGGGTTTATCGTCCACTCGACACAAACTAGGTCATTTCAGGACTAACATATGGTTCAATTTTATTTCAATAATCAGCTAGCGCGTAGGGGTCTTTAGCAGTGGAAATAAACCATGCAGAGGACCCGGAGAAAACCCACGAGGTTGGACAGGTGACCCTACTCCTTGTCACGAACAACCGGGGAATAGAAACCAAGCCACTTAACTCAATGACAGACCTTGTGATACAACGCGCATGCGTTAACCATTCAGCCATCCAGATATATTAAAAATTGTCCTGATCACTTACATAGGTATTAAACTGAGTTGGGCTTATATAACCCACACCCATGTCTAATCTACGTGTATTTGCTTTGAGACATCCCATGTGTCCTGGGATTTTAACATATTAACTATTTATTAGCCCAGTCCGAGCAGAAAAGTAGGACGTTAAACCCCATTTTCAACATTCATACACATTGTAGACCTTATATTACCATTAATATTAGTACGCACCGGTTTTAAAAATAAGCCGTTTCCCAAAATAATTTCTGGACTTCACAAGGCATAGAAATAATTCCGATTTCTGGCAATAATGTTATTGTCTTCCGGATAATTTCAGATGTTAGTATTGATGAAGCACACGATCGAATACGGGGTCCTTTTTGTGGATATGAATTATGGTGTTCTGGCTATAGTTGTGGTAAATGATCCTCAGGTTAAAACTGGATTAAACAGTTTTAAATATCTGTCAATCATCAGGACAGAGGAAATCATTAAATCCCCAACATGCCACATTGTAAAGGTTAAATAAGAGGTCAAGACCAAATGTATACAAATCTATACATTTCGTTTCGATTTTTTATACTTTCGATGGCCTACACTACATGAAGATCTGACCAGTTGTTTTAGAAGGTCGCGTCAGAGGTCACACGGGCGGTTTTTGACCCTATGACGTCAGACATTTGATTAACTAATTAGCATTGATGTTTCTAGGGGGTTACCCACAGTTCCGTTCACCTCACGCCAAAAGCTCGCCGTAACAGACCGTTTTATTGGCTAATCCCTCACATCATCCAGAACACGTCAATGATAACAGATCCTAGTGTAGTAAAGACAAGTAAAACGAAATTTTGAACTATAAAAAACGAAACGAAATAGGATCTGTTTTAATCAGATTGAGTTCAAGATATACACACATCAAAAAGTACAGTTTGGTCTAAAAATTATTCAAATCGATAGTTCTAACTTAAAGATACATTATGGGAGATTCGGTAACGAGTTGGCAGTTCTCACTATAATAGTTAAACACTAGAAAATGTAACGGGAATTTGGTGAAAATTTCATTCAAATTGAACCACTATGAATCGAGAACTTAACGACTGAAATTCCCATAAGCCTCGGTCATCATTACTTAAGTCAGTACGATAAACAGCATAGTCTCGATTATCCATTTAATCGTTTAATAGAGAAGGAAAGTTATGCAGTAAATCGGCTTACAATCCACTAAAGATCGCTGGCTAGCGCTGCCATCTAGAGTTGATTATGGCCTGGATAGGTTAATTAATGTCTAATTAATAATTTAGATAACATTTCAGGCCTAAAGCAAGACCTGAAATAGACAGATTCAGCTCTTGCATAATGTATGTTTAAAGTAGCTATGTCTTTTACCCAACATCACTGCACAGTCTTCGACATTGAAAACACGAATTATTTGATAATTTAAGGCGCAGATATCGACTTGTCGGCTTTCGTTTGAAGAGAGACATGTTGTTATTAGAACCCAATTAAAGGTGTTAAAGATTTTATGAATTTATGTTCACTGTGAATTTTATTCACCAATTTTGCAACAAGAACAAAATATCAATGAGATTAGAATCGTTCAGTATGCTGGGGGACAGGAACCACCAAGGAAAGGATACAAATATGCTCAAATCCAAAGCCAGCTCCAGGAATTTGGCGAAATTAAACTAATTTTTGTTATAGTATAGTTATGTTTTTAATTCTTATTTGGCGAAATTAAATTAATTTGTGTTATAGTATAGTTATGTTTTTATTTCTTATGCCAAAACTGATGCTAAAATGTTGGTTAATTAGTTACATTGGGGATTATGAAAGTGTAAATTCTTATCATAACAATCTATAACACCATTGTTATGTTTTTAATCCATTTTAATCCCTAGGGGCTGGATTCCCGCGAAGTCGTCGAAAACGACCCTTTTTAATCCGTTACGGTCAATAACTGCGCCTTCGTGGGAATAAACCCCAAATATTAGAGATTGAACTCCTTTAAAGTGGCTGGGTTTTTAACCCCCTGTAAACTACAATATGGAAAGGTCGAATCTCTAAAAAAGAATATTCCGTAGAGTATTTACAAAAATATGATAAATGTAAAATTTGTCAACATTGAGCATCCTCGGTAGACGGTAATTACCGGTATTTAGCCTCTTTTTATCCGGATGAATCCAAGCCGGGAGATTTTCTACCGTTGATATTTGGATTTTGTTTCCTTAATTAAAGATACATTAGGTAAGAGTCGGCCATTATTGCTGTAATAATTCAAAAATAGATGATAAAAAAGGAAAATATTAAAAATTTCAGTCAAATTACTTCATTCTGAGCACAATTATCACTGACAAAATGTGTGCATAGTGGTGACTAGGGCACTGGTATATTCGAGCCTTCGCCTCGCTTTCCCATTTTTAAATTAAATTTTTAAATGGCTAACCGTTCTAATCAAGTTAAAATCTCAAGTATCCGATGTAGTCGAGAGTTGATTATGATCTTGTTTTGTTAATAAATGTCTAATTAATAGTTCATATAACATTTCAGGCCTAAGGAAAGACCTGCAATAGGCAGATTTAGCTCTTGCATAATGTATGTTTAAATGTTAAATATTCAATTTGAGTGGATTAAGCCGTGGAAATTTCGATATTTTCCGAAATTAATATGAAAATGACGCACGCAGATTTTAATGTTATAAAATAAATGTTATAATACCTCAAATAATATCAAAGAATCACGGAGTAACAAACTGGGCTAATGAAAACTGGCATAAGCGATACAATGTGTCATGAGGGAAATTTTGCCCGGATAGCTGCACTACGGCCAATTCTTATTTCGAATTCCAACTGTCCCATCCGGACGACTATAGATATACGTTGTACGTTGTCCCTTGTTGGGGACAGAATGACCAGCCTTGCGTCATGGTTTTGAGTTTTTGTGCCCCCTTGAGTTTTTGCACTCCCTCGCAAATGGCAAAACTCATGCGGTTTCCAACATTATAATCATAATGCTTAACCGGTATCAAAGAGAGAGAGAGAGAGAGAGGGAGAGAGAGGGCTTAACGTCCACTCGACACAAACTAGGTCATTTCGGGACTAACAAATCGTTTTAATTTTATTTCAATAATTCGCTTATGCGTAGGGGTCTTTAGCAGTGGGGGGAAACCGGAGGACCCGGAGAAAACCCACGAGATTGGACAGGCGACCCTACTCCTTGTCACGTACAACCGGGGATTCGAAACCACGCCAGTTGACTCAATGACAGGCCTTATGATACAGCGCGCACATGCTAACTATTCGGCCATCCAACCCCCCAACCAGTCTTTAAAATATACCGTGGGTCAGATATGCTAATATGCTACAAATCGATGCTAGCATGTTCCCGGGAAACGCTCTCGTCAACGTCGGAACTCGGGGTCTTATTCATGGTTAGTGGGCCAGCGCTAATTCAGTCAGCCTGGCTCAAATGTGTAATAAAAAGAACCCTAACACAGCACGCCCCATAACATCATTTGTCAAGAAAAATGAATTTAAATTAAAAATGGAGAGAAAAAAACCAAAAAAAAACATGCCCTTTATCAGATAAAAGTAAAACGCATCAACGTGTAGCGAACCGCAACCACTTATAATGTTTAATCTAAAAAGAAAACCCGATTTATTTGACTTGAACAAACCGTTAATATAGTTAACTGCTTATCTCACCTTGTACTTATTTCACGGACCTCTGCGTAATCATACCGTTATACTATAATTCCAATTAGGTCGGGATCTCCCCGCGAAATTTAGACGAGGTCTATTTAGAGCAGGTGCCCGAAGGGAAATCCCATTAATGACGTCAGCGACCGAGTAATGGAGTCAATCACGTGACCAACGACATTATCAACATCTACTTGCTAATAATCGTGGTGGATGAAAAAACGATAAATTTATCAACACTTGAGTTTTTGCAATATTCAAAACTGGAATTGAGATTTGAGGCTGACGATCTAGGACACATGAATCGGAACGAATAATCGATACGTGGAATTTGAAAGCGTGTGGGAGCTGTTTATCTAACGGTGTTGTATTCTGCTTTTATGCTGGGACCGAGGAGGGAATATCGGCAGCCATGTTCAGGTCTGAAATCTGACTGGATTCTGCGAATAGTGCCATTATAAACGCTCTTTACGACAATTTTGGCACATCCTATATAATTAGCAATAACTGTTGAGTAAATTCTGTATGCATGTCTTGATGAATTCGTGCGTTTTCAACTGCATGCTGTGATATTTAGGGCGTCGAGACGTCTGAAAATTCAACAGTTTGCTGTTTGTTGTAATATCGGCATTCTGTAGCCGAGTTAATTGGAATTGCGATTAGCCCATAGCCTAGTGCTGTGTCTCTACTCTATCTTGGATTACTTGAACTACAACTAATATTATAACCTCAAGTAAACATCAACAAATGGCGACGAATAACGGACAAAACGGACCCATGGAAAGCAGTACAGATGATCAGTCAAAAAAGCAAGGAACAAGGTATAATAATAATTATAAATTTTATATTAATTAATTTCTGTGTCAAAGCCCTTACATTTTTCCTATTCATTGATTTGCAAAATGAAATTATGTATTGGCCATACAATCTATTTATACAAAGTATAATTAATCGTGCCTGGTAAATTTATATAAATGACAATTAACTGATGACAATGCCACTGAAACAATTTGACAATTAAGTGATAAAAGCTGCAGTTATGTATTGACTACTGAATACAGCTGCATGAGTAGACCTACATTTGCAGCAGTGGTTAGCTACATGTATTTGGACTTCCTACAAGATTAAAACCTACTCTGTCTCATACACAGCACCCATCAGATAATTAATCTAAAATTACTGTACATGATCCGTTGTACGGATGGGTTGCCATTCTTTTTGTATTGAAAACGTGGTCAATCTCAGTATCGGGTACACACGTACATGTATAATACGACTAGCCATAGACCAGAATAGACTTCATTTGATTTTAATTCACCGCTGTAGGAAACATTGAAATTATTCTTTTCTTTAAATTAGAATGACTGATTAAATTCTTCTTTTTGTGCATTTTCTTCGAGCACTACCATGTACATACGGACATTTTAGTTGAGTTCATTGCATAAGTGCTGGCAACATACAGGTGGTATGTTAAGGAATTGCGTGCATCTGTTGGGGGTATTTCCCTTTTCAATGCATGTACAAGTATGCATGTTCTCATTTAAAGTAGCTAAGTCTCTAACTCAAAATCATCCAAAGTCTTAGACATCGAAAACACAAATAATTTGTCAATTTAAATCAACATTAATATTGTGATCTTACCGGGAAAAAATAGGCTTCTGATAATCCAATATTTAAAACAAAATAAACATTTTACCATTGGTACATGAATCGTGTACCATAATGCGTTTCAACGCCATTTGTATCAAGAACAAAGCTATACATATTCCACAATACACAAGTCATGTCAATCTTTGACCTATATTCTTATCTGGAGAGCATGCACAATAAATACTATAGGTGTAGACTGGAATAACCAGATGCTAGAGATTGCCATTCGATTTAGACTTCTTCTGACATATTTCGCCGAACGTAATTGATTTGAAATTAGAGTAATACAGTCGTACTGACTCGTACTACATTATTATATGTTGTTACTCATTTGTGTCAATTTCTAGGTCCCAAATATTAGCGATTTAGCTACTTTAAATACCGGTAGGCAGTAATATTAGTGATTTAGCTACTTTAAATACCGGTAGGCAGTAATATTAGCGATTTAGCTACTTTAAATACCGGTAGGCAGTAATATTAGCGATTTAGCTACTTTAAATACTGGTAGGCAGTAATATTAGTGATTTACATGTAGCTCCTTTAAGTACCGGGAATACATGCGTATCTTATAATTACGTGTACAATGATCATTTTATTTACAATGTGTTTAAATCTAGTACATGTAACATATTGTACAACGTAGTAATATATTTATATTCATATTTTCATTTTATCATCTCATGTTGTTTCTCTATGTTTTAATCATACATACACTGTATGTATTTCATATTATCACAGCCTTATGTGATGACAGACAAAAAATCTATACTTGTATGCATATTGTACATTGATGTACATGTACATGTATGTCTTTAATAATAGACATATTACATGTACAACTACATGTATATACATGCACCAGTCGTTGTTGTTTGTATTTTAGAGGAGAGCCGAAAAAAGCTCTCCTTAATCAGCAAATTGAAAATATCGCTCCCCTTAAAAAAACTCTCCCAGTTTCAAAAAGCAGAGTGAATTAGAAATTAAGGAAAGTGATCTGATATTAAGGAGAGGGATTAGTTGTGTGTATGGGAAATGGTTCTGAAGATAAATAACTGCATGTTACTCAGGGGTCATTCCTGGATTCATAAATGATAATATGTCCCCCATGACTTTGTAAAGGATAGCAATTTTCAGTTTTAAGGGGAGGGAAAGAAACCTCCCTCAGTCGACATTCAGGTTAGCGGCAGGCACTCGAGAGCGATCGCTCGCCTTAAAAAACAATGACTAATATACGTGTATGTACATGTACATATATACAAATAAAAAAATTGAACCTGACATGTTGGACTTTGAATATTTAAAATATCAAAAATATTCAGAAAATAAACAAATCAGTGCCAGACTAAAAAACAGACAACAGAGGAAATGTGCCTGACAAAGCCAGCATTAGTGTCTATCAATGTCTGTGCCATATTTCCAGGCTGGTGAAGAACTAAGAGTTACAAATGTATTTTAAAACATCTTGTATAATATTTTATTAAGATTTATTTGAAGTAGATCTAAAGTATCTAAATACATGTAAATGATACACGACTTTGAGTAGTAGGACTTTCTGTCGATTGTTCCAGAGTCTTGGTCATGGACATTGATAACCGTATTGTAACTGTTATTTATGACTTATACATAAAAAGCGGTTGACCAGGCGTAGCACGGTTATTGCCATAAACCAGAAGTACTCCGGAAGTGGTAGTCCAGTGCCACCAGGCCTATGTTACTCCCCGGTCTGAGCTACGTACCCCTATATACCAAGTTTCAGCCCGTCACTATTTTTTGGCGCCCAGCACAAAGAAAAAATCGAAGAATGCCGCCAAGTCGTATTTAAACCCCTTCGCCCTTCTCTGTACGTACACAGACTCAGCGCTCAAAATTTACCACGGGAAATGGCAAAGCCATGGTAAAAGCCGACACAAGCCATGTCTGCCACAGCATAATTTATTTTTGTGTGCCGTAGTATACCCCATCATCCCAAATTAGTTTAAAGAAAGAAGTATTGGTATTTTGTTTATTTATATTTAGAAGTTGTGTAGGTCTATTCATTTTACGGTCTTTAAATTTGTATATTTGCCGTAAATAGGTCACCCAGATCAATTTACGGCACTCCAATGTTAACGGTTTGGATATCGTAAATGGTGTCGTAATTCGTGAGACACGAGTCAAATAAAACAACGTGTTCTAATTATCAATATCTACCTGTTGTCATAATTCGTTGTACTCAAATAAAACACAAAAACCATATTAAGAATCACATTAATTTTTAATCTCAAAGTAATAACGAAATATTTGAAAAAAACTGAGAAACAGAGTGGGGTGGGGCAATTTTATGCTCGGTCGGTTGGTGTCAAAAAGTTTTTAGATCCCTGGCAGAGTCTCTGTATCATTGATGATAATTAAGTGAATTTGGTAAAAATTTGAATATATAAATGGAAATTTGATTTGCACTGAAGCAAATACAAAAGGCAGCAGATGCACTGAAAATACACCAAGAAGGGTTGAATTTTAATAAAGGACCACGCCCCCCTCCCAAAAATTTTTTTTTTCCTTGCACCGCTCAGTAGATATTTTTTCCACCACTCCGCAAATCCTGGCTACATCCCTGTTAGTATACATGTAGACTGGCTTTAAAGAGTAAAATACAACCACAACTTACACAGAGAACAGAGAGAGAGAGAACAGAGAGAGAAATGGGGTTTAACGTCCACTCCACACAGTCTAGGTCATTGCGTGACTAACATGGTTCAATTTTAGCAGTGGGAGATAATTGGAGAACCCAAAGAAAACCCAGAAGGTTAGACAGGCAAAACTATTCCTTGTCATGTACAACCAGGGAATCGAAACCACACTTGACTCATTGATAGACCTTACAATTGTCTGAATTTTGTCTTGTCTATCATACATACATGATTACATGTATGGTCGCCTGTCCAACCTTGTGGGTTTTTTCCGGGTCCTCCAGTTTCCTCCCTTTAAAGACCCTATGCGCAAGCGAATTGTTGAAAGAAAATTGAACCATATGTTAGCCCCGAAATGACCTAGTTTGTGTCGAGTGGAAGTTAAACCCCATTTCTCTCTCTCTCTCTTTCTCTTTTCTATCTAAAATGTATGGCTTGTTAGATTGTTTGTTTCAATTTGTCTGTACTGTATTGTGGTTAAAATTGTTTCACGAGCTAATTAGTCCTCCAGTCTTATGAGATGATTACAGCCTATTAGTGTTTTAATTAGTGTTTTGTTTAGTGAGATCATACTAAATGTATACGTTGATTATTTCCACGTTAGATTATAGGGATGTTATACTGTATGTTTGTCAATTATTGAATTGACATTCAAGTAATCGTGTCAGACGGTATAATGTGATGGAGCACAAACCGTTAAGCATTGAATTATTGATACATGTAACTTTCTAAATGCTCTGTCCATGTGTAACAACAGGAAAAATACATGTACATGTAGTCTACATTATTTATAATTCTTTAAAGCGAGAATTTCATATTTTCTAAGAAAGTCAAAACATAATTATTTCTATATCTTTTGCTCAATAGGTTATCAACTCACTATTATACGATCATACAATGTAAGTGTCATTCTCACACTTAAAACTCATTTACACAGGAAATAACAACACAATTACCTCCCTTGTTCACCCATTTCCTCAACGTTGGAATTTGAAGTTGAAAATGATATTTTTGCCAATTTCTCAACTGGCAATAGTGAATTATAGGATTAATAGGATTATTCTTTAACAAGGTAGGACTGTTTATAGATACATGTACCATCTATTTTAAGGCTTTATTTTAATAAATTTTAAAAATATAACTTAAAAATGTGAAATTGCAGCTTTAATCTAGAAATAATATTGATTGTGCACCACGGCGCCACAGAACATCATTTGAGCAGTCATTGTTGTTTGTATTTTAGAGGAGAGTCGAAAAAAGCTTCCCTCAATCAACAAATTGAAAAATAGCTCCCTTAAAAAATCTCTCCCAGTTCCGATAAGAAAAGTGATTTAGAAATTAAGGAGAGTGATCTGATATTAATAAGAGTGATTAGTTGTGTGCATGAAGATCAAAAACTGCATGTTAGGGGTCGTTCCTGGATTCATAAATGATAATAAACCCCCCATGACTTTATAAAGGAGAGCGATTTTCAATTTTAAGGAGAGGGAGAAAATAAACCC